AGTGTGAATTTAAAATCCATAAATAAATAAATAAATGAATATTTCAATTTGATTATCATTTCTTAAAGATATACTATGCTCATTATTGAGTAAAATAATTTAATCCAAAAAATTTATTGAAATGTATAAAATTCATTCTGAATAAGTCTAATTTGAATAAGAGATGCATGTATTTCAATTTAATTAGCATTTTTTAAATATATATTATGCTCATTATTGAGTAAAATAATTAAATCCAAAAAATTTATTTAGATATATGAAATTCATTCTGAATATGTCTAATTTAAATAAAAGAATGAAAAAAACTATGTTATGGAAAGCCGCTTTTCCTATCACAGGTCCAGTGAAGTTGAAAGTGAAAAAACTGCCTGCTTTTTTAATGACACTATATATTCATATTGTGACCATCTATAGTGTGTAGGATTTTAAAGATCCTGTAAGTTTTAATTAAGGTTGTTACCACACTTAAGTGAAATTTATGTAATTATGCTTCTAAAATAATTTTTAAACATCAAAGGATATGTAAAATATGTACTGCAAATATTTGTCCACATGATATGTAATCATTAAAATATATGCATTCATTTCTTATTGAAAAAATGTGACTTAGACTTTATAGAAAATAAATATTTAGTTATCTCCCTTTATTAACATGACATGTAAATTCGGTAATATCTATAAAATGATCCTTACAATATTGATAAATCTTCATTCGAGCATTATATTTATGATATAAAACCATAAGATATGAGTTTCAGAATCTTTAAACATAACATGTCTACTTTGTGTGAACTCAAAACATATTTATTTCATATTCATAAAGAGAATGTGTAGCAATTGTCAATATTTTCTTTATTCAAAATTTAGCATAGGATATCTTTAACTGTTATTTCTTTGTGTAGAATAAGAGTTTTCTAAGGTGGTAAAGATATAAAATAGTTAGTCATACCTAATGTTTTTATTGTTTCCTCATATGCTTTACTTGGAACATAAACTTGCAATGTCACAAGATCATCTATCATTTCTTCAATTGCCATTGTCATATCTAGCAATCTTCTTTGAATGATTGGTCCACTGAAGTAATCTAGAAGGTATATCAGTGACGTTACTGAAGAACATGTGAACTTGAATATAATAGAACCAGGTCCAACGTTTTCAAAATCAGGATCTCCCATTTCACGAACATCACCTCTAATTTTCTCTATGGAAATCCTGAACGTTCTCTTTGCTGAGGACTCCCCTGAAGAACTTGTACCAGATGATATGTCCTGTTGGGCTTCAGCAAGTTCTCCCGATTGCTTGTGTTCACCTTGCCACCCTATACCTATTGATATCGCTTTAATGAAAAAAAAAAAACACGTAGGATTGGCGAGGATATTTTTTCTGCAGTCAATATCAAGATTTAGTATCCAGTTAACATATGGTCTTAGCCCTAAATTATACAAATTCTTTCAGAGACTACAGCATTTTTACATCTGTAAAAATAGAAAACGTAGATTGCATCAGTAACATTTAATCAATGTGTTATGTATGCAACATATTACATGTATATAGTTTGTGTCTGACCAGTTGGTATTTCCAATATTATCATTGTTCTATTTTTAGAACATAAACTACATGTATGTACTAGAACTTTCTTAACTGTTGTAGAAAACTCATGCATTATATTTAGATAGAAATTTCCGGAATGATCTTTATTGTTGATGTTGCTAGATTATGATAGAACATAATAGACTTTTCTGGAATGTTCCTAGTTTATATATATATTACGGGATATTTTTCATTTCGGTACCTTTTAAGTCATCAGTGATCTTTTAAGTCATCAGTAACCTTTTAAGTCATCAGTGATCTTTTAAGTCATCAGTTACCTTTTAAGTCATCAATATATTTGGAGTATTATTCAACTTGGATATTAAGTGAATTATTGGAGCTTGGATTTTAAAATAAATTATTCTTGTGGATTTTATTGTGGGAATTTATTGTAAAGTGTTCTTGGATTTAACTTGGATTTAACTGTGCAATTCAAAAAGGATCATTCCAGGATCAGACTGGACATTTGAATTTTACATTTTTATTAGGACTTCAGGTATTTGTACACATAATTTGTTATTTTGATTTTTCTTTAATAATTTTTCTGTAATAAATTTGTTATTGTTAAAAGTTTGTTGCTGGCTTTTCTTTCTCGTTACGCCTGGCTCGTAACAAATGCTAAACATTTACTTAATGAGAACAAAAATATCTTACACTTATATTCCATCTAGAACAGATTTCAACGATTAAAAAACAGAGATTATGCCAAAATATTTATCAGTACCAATCATTTTAACATTATTGGGACAAGCTATATGATTATCCGCTGTCTTTTCAATGTGTGCCAATATCTCAAATTATTTTAAAGAAACTAACTATGCTCTACAGCATATCTACTATCCATACATAAGTGTACAATTACGTTTTAAATTAATAATCATTTTGCAAAGAAACATAAATGTAAGAATATAAAACGTATTACATATCTCTATATTTGTTGATCGGTCATTTTCTTCAAACTTCATATGATAATCCAACAAGTTTGTCTTTACTTCGCCTACATCTGAAGTGAAGTGTAAATGAAACAGACACTAAATTGATAAAGTTATGACTCCTTCATCATAATTAATATAACAATTTATACTTATAAACTTTTTTTCCGAAAATCAAAACAAATTATAATTAAATATGCTTTTCTTAAGTAAAATAGCAGGGCAACAAAATACGGAAGAATACTATACTGATAAATAAAATTACCTCTCCCATCGTTTTCTATTGAAATTCCAATGTTAAATGTTTGATCTTCTATGAACCATTGCTTTAATTCTTTCTCTCCTTCTTCAACGTCCTTTTCATGAATATTTTGATCATTTTCAATAATTTTGTCTAGTTCTGATTTTAGTTTTTCATTGTTTAGTTCTTCCTCACATAGTCTAAAGATACGCTTCATCTTTTCTATATAACTTTTATACATGCCCTCTGGAATATCTTTAGTTCCTCCAAAATGCACAACCTTGTTTCTTAGATGCTTCAAGCAAAGTATATCCTGGCGAATCTTTTTCGGTAATTTACAGAACTCCAATAGCAGGAGACAAAACGTACTCAATTCCCACTCATCGACATTTGCTTTCACCATCTCTCCAGGGTAGAATATATGTTGTTTTGATTTTATATGTTTATACCCGAGTAATTCTTTTTTATTTTCTTTTAAGAAATCATCAACAGTCCACGGGTTATCAGATCCACTCGGTGTTATATCACTAACTCTTTTCAAGAACAATTCTTTGGTCAACATTACTCCACAGTGACGAATAACTATAACCAAATGACCATACCTGACCGATGTCATCTTTCAAACATATATGTAGTTGAACCATATGATACCCGTTTAAATTCCCTTAAAACGAAAGTTGAACTTTACAAATATTGAAAATGTGACTAAAATTAGTTCAATACAGTTTTTCTGTTAGAATACTACTATCTTTATTTTTTCTTATATTGACTTCATTTAAATTTTAATTAATTTAATAGTTTTTCACATGTTATTTAACATATGTCATTCAACATGAAGGGGTTTGGATGACAGATGCCATGTTCAACAATGCGATATAAATTCAAATGTCCATAACGTTTTATCATAAAAGCATTAAACAACACATAATGTGTGCAAAATTTCATTACGGATATCATTTATAAATAACATTTAAATTACCTAAAGCACGAAAGATGATAAAAGAAGAAAAACCAACCTTTTGCACTTTGTCATTCAATCTTGCAATTTGAAATTCATAACATAAACTCTATTTATGCTTTACGATTTTATTTTAATTGTGATGGAATGTCTTTTCAATATTTCACATAACCTGCAGTTTGATGAACTATTGGAAATTGTTTCTGAACTGTAGTTTTGCCAGAAATTGTTTGGAAAAAAGCCATTTTGGCCTTTTGACAAACTAAAAAGTACTTAGAATAGTAATTAGAATGAGTAAAACAATTTACCTCTGGAGAAGAGAAGGACTGTGGAAATCTCGACCCCTAAGGCACAATTTATGTAATATTTAAAAAGTTTAATCTTGAAAACTTAAATGCACATTAGTCAGTAAAATTGTAAAAAATTACCTTAATCACAAGTGACCTGGACCGTAGTGATACTTTCCTCCACCCATACCTAAAGGACAACCCATGGACCTACCAAATACGAAAGACATAAGTCAATATAAAGACTGCGTTAGCAAAATCGAAAACACCTTTTTAAACAGCTTTGTAACATTGAACGCGAACTTGACCTAATTGCTATTTCTCCTCCAGTCATAGAGCCCACCAAGCTTTTACATTTTACTTTATAACAATGACAACAATAAGTCAACAAATGAAGGCTTATTAGGACAGGTTTTAAAATATAACAAATTTTTAACATCGGTGACCTTTACGTTACTGCGGATTTCACCCTAAGTTAGTGTCAATCTACTTAATATGATAGACACAAGTAAATAATCAAATGCTGTACGAAGTTTCAATGCGATACCATTGACAAAAAGAAGTTATATTCGGAACACGGTTTATTCAACATTTTAAGTAAGGCAAAGGGAGAAAATTTGAAAAGTAAGGTAGAATTATGGTTCTTTGGCACTGCACGTTTTTACCGGTATCTATAACTATGTAAATTTCTAATTTAATCATTTCAATACTTTTCAAGTTATTTTCAAACACATGAATATTATAAAGGGAGTTAATTTAAAAACTATGTTTTTACAATGCACTTTCACTTTCTAGTCACTACAACTGTGTAATTCACAGAACACGCATTATTAATTCTTTCACTAAGTAAACTTTGAAACGAATTTCTTAGATACTTTTCAAGATATCTTGCTGACAAAAGCGTGACGGACGAATGGACGGACAAGACGGGGACTATAAACTCACCATTAGGGGAGTATTTTAAGTCGTATGCAACTTAAGACATTCATTAACGATAACAACCTAGTATTCATAATATTATATAAGAATGTTCTGCATGAAATATTTAGGTTATTATTGTATGAAATATCTGACCCACGGTGATTATTTTTTAATAAACAAATATAATTTACTTAAATCATTGAATGAAAAAATGCAAATAGGTATGTATGAAAATAAGAAACGTAAGAATCGTGAAACTTACATTAAAGTTTTAAACCATCTTTTAATTATGTCCATCCATGCACAATTATTATGTTTGAACTTTAAAATTACGATCTGTTATGCAAATGTGACAAAGATAATGATTTATTCATTATTGAATTTAAAAACACAGGAAACATTGATAAAATTGACGGATACAATCAGATAAATGTTGTACGTATTGTTCTATAGATTAACCGTTTAGTACCGCAAATTCGATAACCATCAGACAAACATTTATTTACTACCCAAGATATGCACTTTGCCATATTCTAATAAATGTCTATTGTATACTCTTGTATAAACATCAATAATAGTTCGTTTAGGACTTTAATAATTTGCATTGTCTTAAAAATTGCACATATCTATCCTGATTTTTTTAATCAATATTTAATGTACGGAAACCTATACGTATTTGCAGACTTCATTGGCCTATTTCGCCACGTGTTTGTATCAATAAAAACATTATTGGTTTCAATCTTATTAACTTATTCTCGTTTTATTTCCCATTTCCATAAGGTCCATATCATATGCAAAATGTACTCCATCAAAAAGTTTTATGAATCATGCACTTAAGGTTACACCTCCTCCATCTTGGAGGTGGTTTAGTATCATAAGGATAATGAAGAGACAAATTTGTTGATTGGGTCTCTTTATTGAAAGATTATTTTTGATTTCTATAACGAATTGAAATTCGGGCATATATTGCCCCGCCTTAATGGTGCTCTTGTTCACCAAACATGCACGCCCCTTACAAATGAATGAACTATGTCACATTCCAAAATTAAATGTAATATCGTCTCTAGGTTGACATTGCAAAAAGTATATTTCTTATCGTTCCTCAAAATTAAACTTGTTCAGTTCTTTGGTCACCAATTGGGTGCAATATACTATCTTGAAGCCACATAAATTTTGAGTCTTTTGTTACTTCAAAATGTGAAATATGGTTGTGACTATTTTTTTTACGAGTGAAAACTGATGATTCAAATTTAATTTGGATAGATGTTTTGAATTCATTTTGTTTGTTTCAATGTAAGATTCTAATACACGAAAAGGGATATAGAAATGCAGTTAAAAAAGAAACATATATTTCTTGGCGCTGTTGGTTTTTAGAAACGGGATAGTTTAACCATTATACTAAAATCTAAAGGAAACAAAATTAGATAAATTTTTGAGTAAAATGTCAATATCAAATAAAAATGATGAAATATGACAGCATCGTTTGTGATCATAATTTTATACACATGTGGAAATATTTTTTTGAGTAATTAAAAGAATTTTAAACTCTTTTTTTACATTCAGTTGTTTCAGAAGCCCTCAGAGAAAACCTCGGAGCACAAATCGTTCCGGTGAAACTGGTTGTACTTAAAGCTTATTTGTCCTGGCACCTTGTCATATGGTTAGTCACCAGCTGTCAAAAGGTGTAACTTTGGAAAAAAATCGGTCCTTTCGTTCTTTGACGTTTTTGAACATTTTCGATACATTTGCCAATTTATCTAACACGATCTACCAAATGGATCTTTCTACTCCGTGTTCAGCTTTACCGTGAATTTCACAACAGTTTGTTTGCCTCCCTATTAGCAGTAATTTACAAAGAAAGACTAAAATACGGAATTTTCCAAATTGAGCAACCTCTTATGTTTAGACTTTTTGTAATACAGTCTTCAAGTGCCAGTGCCCAAAATTCTTCTCTGCTAGCGGGAATTTTTGATATTTTATATGTAATCGGCTCAGTATTTCCTTCTGATGCCTCTGATACTGTTTCGGAGGATGGTTTTGTTGTCTTGATGACGTTTTAATAGTGAGAAAATCCAGTTTTACAGAGATAGATACCTTTCCCACATTGCTCTCGCTATTGTAATAAAGTTTGTAGGACCTAGCTTGTTCAATAGGAAATATGTTATTTAGAAACTGGGCAGATTGAAAAAAGAAAATATACTTTAAACACAACAAATATGTAAGGAAAACTGGTAAAGAATTTGTCATTGTAACAGTTAGTTTTTATACCAATGTAAATATTTTAAGTTTTAATGATATAAAAACTGAATCAAACCGAGTCTGCAATTTTCATGTGATTTTGGTAATTTTATTGCTTCCAAGCGTTCACCTTTTTTCAGATATTTATAATATCTTTCACTTCACTTTGTCATAGAAATGCCTTTTAAAATGAAACGAAGTGGCAACCATTTGCGTGGTGCTGATCAATAATCAAAACATTAAAAATACACTGTTAGTGCTATATCCCGTTTCGTTTGCATATATATTGACTGGAAGTTGAATGAAGAGGTATTGACAAATAACAATATTAAAGTTGATTCTATATCAAATATGATTCGCCCTGGGACATAAACCTTAGGCTTTACATTTAAATTTAACGCATGACATGAAAGCATAATCATATTTTCAATGACTGAGTTTTTTCCCATTTATTCAACAATCAGTATATTGGGATAAAATTTCTGAAGATAACTAAATTATTAGGCTCAGCGGTTTCTTTCTAGAAGTGAATTAAAAACAATTTATTCCTAATTCAAAGTATTCCAAGAAAAAATTTCCAATATTTCAGCCTTGCAAATTGTCGCATGAAGGGCAACCAATTGATATTTCACTTTTGCATTTGATAAATTCATATAAATTCTGTAGAGGAATCCTATGATTCTCTTCGAAGTGTGATGAAGATTACCGTCGATTTAGTAACTTGTTACTCCAAAAGCTGGTAAAAGTCAGAATAAAAAACTGGAAAGTAATTAATTCAGCAGTTTCAGGTATAAGATAATTGTGATGAAATATCAAGGTATAAATACATGTTTATCTGAGCTAAAATAGTGTCTTTACTTTGATATTTCCTTCGCTATTTAGTTAAAGTAAAATTACGATTTGCTGTAGAAATTATTCAAAAGTAAGCGTATTTGCATTTAAATATATTTAAAATTAAACAAAAGGCCTGCATAAACAGACAGTCTAAGTTAAGGCCTATAAATCTAATTTGCAATCAAGTATATGAAATCGATATACCAAAAACTAAAAGTTCTACTGCACAAAGTAAAAATATATCAATAGAACTGCATTCTAATTGTAGTATATTATATACGACTGTTTTGTAAACTTTGCAGTGTAATTTGGTATTGATTATCATGTTTAAAGTTAAACGTATCTTTCATAAAATAAATAAAAGCTAGTTTTCAAGTACTTCATGCTGGTTTATATATGGTTTACATAAAAATAAAATATATC